ATAATTCGTGCCAGATTAACATAGAATAAAAGATATTAAAATAAATCTTCTTCAAAGGAGATAATGAATACAGCTCATAGTTATGTTCTATTGGTTGCTATGACAGCCTGCTTATAAACGAAAAATAGATTTTATTTATTCTCTTTTAATCAGTCACACTTTATTGTCATTAGTCTTTTAGCATTATCAGGAAAAAATCGTCGAACAGCTGATGTACGCTCCAAAGGCTTTTCATTGTTGTTTAGCTTGTGCAAGCAGGACTTTGAAGAAGCAATGAAGAATTATCCACAAGCCTACGGATTACTTCGCAAGAAGGCACGGTAAGGCCTGCCTTTACTTCTTTTTTCTGCCTTAATATCGTGTCTGCTTAGGACTAACTCTATTTAAAATTTTTAAAATCACTTAATAAGTTAATGTATATATTAAGCATATAGTTATTTCTAATAAATGTCACTTTTAACCAATTAAAAATTTTATTACTTAACTTCCATTACAATTGACTTTATATACATTTTTGTATTCCTTCTGTGGGCCTACGTGTGATCAAACTTTGATGGCCGGATAACATCTTTTGTTGAGCTTACTTCCATTTGAGTGCAAGTGTTTGGTGATGAGATTGGAAGTTCGATCCTATCAGAAGACGACGGAGGATTCTTCTTGAGGAGCTGTCGACTGACTTTCCTGAAATCTTCTTGTTTACACTGTTTCAGAGGCAATCTCCTTTGTTCCAAGTTAAAATGTGTTAAGTTTTCATCCGTCTCACAACGGACATCATCAGTGCCTATATTTTAAGCTAACGAGTCAAGGAAATCCACCAGCTTATCTATAAATGCTATAGATAGATAGATAGGCTTGGTGAGCACCATTTCCCTCTCCAATCAACACTTCCAGTGTACAAAATCGGCCACACTTCTGGTTATGCTGATGAGCTTTTTATCTGTATGTGAAAGAAAAAGAATGGACTAAAATGTATATATAAGTGAGTGTGATTTTATTAAAGGCAATAAAAGAAAAGATTACTCGAGTCGCCTCCCATTCTCAGACGGCCAAACACCCTATCTATCCTTGTGTCTACTAATTAAGCACAAGTAGTACTTACTTTCTTGCCAGTATAACTCACCTTCGATGTATTGCCTCTTCGGTTAGTTTTGATGACTTTTCTAATTTTACTTCTATTTGCAGACATGTTGGTAGCATTTAATCTTTTCTCCAGTTTCTGTCGTGTGTCTTGCTGACTTCGATTTTTGAACCCAACAGCTTCTAAAGGCGCTTTTCTGCTCTGCCAATCTTCACTAAATGGTATGGCAAGTCTCTTCAACTGAAAAGCGACCACATGAATACACTATTATATGGCAGCCTGATGTGGATAATGAGTCAAATTTCTCTTTAAAAGGGGAAATAACCGTTAAAAGTTTGGTAGTTTCCCTAAAAACTAGTAAGGCCAATCGAGAGCTGGTCAAGTGGAGTTCGCCGTCATCTTTAGGTTGGATCAAACTTTCGATCTCTTTACTAAAGACTTTCACTCGAAATGGAAGTAAGCTCAATAATTATGAAACAATAGATTTCTCGAAACCCAACTTTTCTGAGCATCTGACTTTATCTTACATATTCATTTGTCACAGCCCTGATACGTTATTTACAGTTACTTGAGTATTTTATTTAATTTTATAAATAATTTGCAGAGCTATATTAATCTTCTGACCAATTGATCCTTTTTAATATCGAGTATGGCTTGATAAGTATAATACAGTTTATAGTAATTCTTATTTTCTGCTAAATTCTTTCATTTATTATGTAGACGTGTGCTCAGAAAAGATAAGAAAAAGGCAGAAGAAGACAAAAAGAAAAAGGCCGAATTGGAATCTGGAGTCCCTGATCAAGAAACTAAACCTGCTTCATGTAATGAAATGGCCAATGGGAAAGCAAACTTGAGACCAGGACTATCAGTGAATGACACATCAAAAGGTGATGAGAACACTGGAGGAATAGATTATCGAAATGATCTTGTCGATGAGGAAGAATTGAAGCAATGGGTGGAGAGGTTTGGCCCGATCATAGAAGTCATCAAAGATGTGGGAGAAACGCCTGAGGTATTTAAGAATATATTTTATCCTGTGTATATTTTGTGAGAATCCAAAAATGATAAAAGTAAGTTAATTAAATGAAATAGTTTCAATATCTTATGGCAGACCAAATTTTAAATTTGCTCCAACTTAGTATTTTTTTATTCTTAGCAAATGAATTAATAAAGAGATTTCATCAAAGAGTCTAAAAGATTTATATTTTAGCGAGCCATAAATTTAGCAGAATACTTTTCATTAAATTATGCCTTATTCTTGAAGATTACATTCCAAAAAAGGGCTATTATATTTTGAATACACGACATCGGCAGAGTTAAATAACTTTTATTTATAATGATAATTTTAAACTGCTCCTGTTTGCTTAGTACTCAAGAGATTGAGTAAAATCTTTAAAAAAATGCAATTTTGAGGCAAAGTCAATTCGCTTTTCTGTCTTGAAGTACATCAATCCTTCAAATTATCAATCAAAAACATTTAACTATCTCAAAAGTTTGCCTTTTGAAAAGATGGAGGCTGAGAATAGTTTTGTCAGGGAGACTTTCAGTTCGCATGAAAGTGAATAAAGAAGAGATTCGTTGGTCGATCTCACCAGATGAGCACAGATGAATAGTTTCTTTAGCTCAACCACTAAGCTCGGACAATTGTCTATTTCACATTTATAACAATTTACTTGATATATTCGCCTTGCTTTTGGTCAGTCTAGAGCAGATGATAGTGACTGAAATCCACTGGGTTAATAACTTATTTGGCCTAACATGATCCGTTACAACAATTTGCATAAGGTGTTTATTGGTATAGTTGATGGATGACTATTTCGTAAGAGATAGATCAGTATAGGAGCGAATCATTTAATACTTAATCTTTAAGAAACAACTAGATTTGCTTTGGTGGCAAAACCTAACAAAAAATTAAAATAGTAGATAAAGGTAAAAGAAACCTCTTATCAAGTGATCGCATCGCTGTCCTCTTAGACTTTCATTTCCACAAGCTTGCCGGATTGGTAGATTAATTTCAAGACGGAACAATGCAAGTCTGGCTGGAGAAGAGATGAGGTATATAGAATGCTTTAAAGCTGCTGTGATGGATTAA